CACGTAAGCGACCCCAGGAGCCTTCCCCGTGCTCAGGTACATCTGCAGCTTAGTAGTCTTCAGGTCAGAGACGACCTGGTCCAACTGGGCTTTTAGCGCAGCGACCTCTTCGTCACGGGAACCTTGTGGAGCCCTGTGCTCCTGCTCCCTCCTATAAAGTTCTGCTATGGAAAGAGCTCCTTCTCCATCAGCCGTAGCGTTGTCAGCAGCGTCCATTCGGACACGTCTTCGAGGAGGAGGTTGATCGTCGTCCGATACCTCCACAGCACGTTCGGGGATTCCGTCGGTGTCCCGACGCGGCGGCAGTGGAGGCAAGTCTTCCGGATCCGTGCGAGCGGTCCGAGGTGGCAACACGTTGGGCCGATCTCTCCGACCGGTCTGAGGCGTGTTGAAGAGGCGATGCGGGTTGATCCGGGACCTCTTGCGCTTACGTGAAAGCGATCGCAGCTCAGTTGTCGTTGTTTCATTGAACTTCTGTTGCTCCTGCGCTCCCTTGACGAGCGTCTCGAGCATCTACTTTATCTCCATTATGTCCGCTGGGTTGTTAGCGGTGTTAGGTGCAGTGTTTTCCACGGAGTTCTCCTTCTCCTCGTCGTTCCTGTGAGACGAGGATCCTTCGCTGCTTACACTGTTGTTCCCAGACATCTTCTTAGATCTTGTTGAAACCTAGCTTCTTGTGTCAGAAATTCTCTGGTTCCCCTTAGACGGCGCCAAATTGTGGGAGTCGAAACTAGCACAATTAGATTTGTTAGGATTTCGTGAAGAGGTAGAGATTTCTAGGGTTAGCTAAGATCACCAAGGTATGAAAAAATTGTTTGTTATTGCTCTGTAAGATTTTGTGAACAAGATTACGAATGCCTTTTTCAAGGGCTTTTACATCAAGCATATATACTGTCTCTAAGGCGGCCAAGCCTCCTAAGTCTTCCCGGATTCCTTTCTTGCCAAGGTCGGTTGCATCGAAGTGGGCTTCGCGTCTGGACCGGGCTTTGGATTGTCTTTGTGTCATCGGGTCGCCTTCATGTTATTGGGCTGCTGGATCCGAGGACGCGGTCGGACTGTCGAGGATCCGAGGACGCGGTCGGACCGTCGAGGATCCGAGGACGTGATCGGATCCTCGGTCGACCCGAGGACGTGGTCGCCCGCCTTATCCCGGCGCTTCCTGCTTCGCCTAGGCTTATTTCATGATCACTTGCTTTGCTTCGCGGGAAGACTCAGGTGCTATTCCGCCTTGTTTGTTGAGAGTCCGGAGGGTCACTTTTTCAGTTGTCTGACTTTGAACGTTAATGTTGAGCGGGTGAAAACCCACCCCAACAACACTTCTCTCGTCTGGAGGGACCTTAAGAATATCACACTTTTTTGTTCATAATGTTCAAGTGGAGTACATGGTAAAAAATAATGAATTCGAAGTAAGTTGTGTTGCAATTTCTTACGAGGAAATGAGTGATGACTTCCGCTATTATCAATGTAAAACAAGGAAAAAAAACATAAGAAGAAGGGGGATTACATATGTTGTCAGCCAGTCACCAAG